AAGCATATCTCTTATTATGATGTTTCAATCATTTTTTTAAATTTATTTTATTTATTTATGCATACAAGAGCTGGGGTACAGGCCAGAGGTAGGGGGAGGAGGAGGGATAAGAGTATCCACCAGAGACAGAGTGGGAAGCAGAACAGGCAGATTGACTGAAATACAGTGCTGAGGGGAGCAGCGGATGAGACAGGAGAGGTCTGCTGCACCATGTGGGTCAGCTCCCTGGTCGGGATCGAACTCATGCTGCAGTGGCTGCAAAAGCTTCATAGTGCTGAGACTTAACCCCTTGCACCACCAGAGAGGACCTTATGTTCTTTCAATCTTTATGTTTCTTTTGCTCTTTATTCTGTGAGGATAGGAAATGTACCTACCCCATGCTCAAAAAAATATTTGATCCATTTTCAAATTATAAGTTTTCCTATTATGTCTCAACAAGTTACCTGTTATTGCTGATATGGAAAAATATCTCACTTCTAAGTCACCAGTACAAGAGTTAATATTTAATATGAATAAAGGAACATTCACACTGAATTACTTCCATTGTAGTAACATGTAGAAAACCATTTCTAGGGAGGAGGGAACTGCCCTCCATAAAATGATTCTGAAATGGAAGGAGTTTACAATACTCTCTCCCAGATTCCTAATTTCCATTAAAATAATCTTAGATCATACATATTTCATCTCTTACAGACTGAATGTTAGTGGCAGTTTCTCTGACCCACTCAAAATAAGTAATACATGGGCTTTTCAATATTTATTGTAATCTATGTTTTCAAAAAACCTAAGGAAACTCACCAGAGCACATTCAAGAACATCTTCCCTCAACAGAAGGAGAAGCTGTCAGTGTGAGCTGCTGACACTTAGCTCACAGTCCTAATCTCAGCAAGTTAGTCACATTCAGAAAAACCTGAACTGTGGAGAAGAAATAAGTACTTTTCAATCCTTCTTGGGCCTCTGGAGCATAGACTATGAAATCTTTTTGGCATAAGCAGAGTTTGGGTGCAGTGGGTATTTGGTGTTTTTAGTAAATACCCTGGGATCAAAACCTGCAATTATATTTACTGTTCTTGCAGAATGTTTTCCTGTTGAGTTGATTTAATGATCATACTTAGTTACCTGAATTTCAACTTATTTGTTTTTAAGGACCAAATATTTGAAAAATATTATAATATGTGTTACATTCGAGAATATCAAAAAGACTTAATTTTGTTCTATTAATTGAATAAAAAGTCAATAATTTAATTTTAACTAGATAATATTAGAATGTCTAATAAATTTCCTCATTTTGAAAAAAGTGTAAGTACTTTTTTTTTAATTTTTTTTTAAGATTTATTCATTTATACAAGCACAGTCAGAAGCGCAGGAGGGTGAGAGAATTCACCAGAGCTAGAGCAGGGAACCGAACAGGCAGACCGATGAAGTACACTGCTGAGGGGAGCAGTGGGGCAGTAGGAGACATCTGCACACCATGCGGGACCCTCGTCAGCGGCAGGGGATTGAACCGGCACTGCAGAGGCTGCGAGGCAGCTTCGCAGCCCAGCTCTCAACCGCTGCACCACTGGGGAGGCCCCATAAATACCATTTTTTTACTACTAATATACTTCCTAATCTTCTGCCACTAAATGGCAATATAAATGCTTCCTAATCTGCCACTAAATGGTAATATAATTTCATTTTGAATCGGAAAGTAAAAACTAGCTATTTTATTTAATGTGGTGTGTAGTCTATGGTTTATCTAGTGTAATCATAATAATTATCATGAAAATAAACTCACTCTTTCAAGCTTAAGTAAATTATAAATTAATAAGCATGTCTTCCATTATCACAAAACAAGTCTTGAGTCCTACCCAACATTTCACAAATGTAAACATTTCCAGTCCTTTAATGCCACAAAATAGAATTTGAATGGTTTCTATGTAAACTATCATTTTAACACAACAATTCAACTGTCAATACATTGTACATTTGTGAACTAAGAATAGCATACAAAGGTGTACTTTAAGTCATTAATTCAGTACATGTATCTGTGTTCCTGAATTTCCAGAATAAATCTCTTTTACTTAATGAGAAAAATAGTCATAAATTTTTGATGACATGGAACAATGAAGAAATGTGTCTTTGAAAATTTCAAAGTATAAAAATGAGCAGACTTGAACGTCATTGAGCTCTTGGAGGACATACTATATTAAAACTGGAAAACTGAAAAATGTTAGGATATTTCAATATTTAAAACTATAGAAAATCCTATAGGTAGCTTCCCTAATCTCAAGGATTGCTATGAATAGCAGGGTTACATCTATCTATTCACATATTAAGAAAAGAAATAGAAAGTTATAAATAGCAAAGAAGTTTTGGCTTAATATGACCAAAAGCTCTAAAATTTTAACCTTTATTTATTAAATGTGGTATCCTAGAGATGTGCTGAGGTCCTGAAAACTGTTCAGGCTGAGGTTGCATGACAACTACATAGAAGTGGAAACACACAGTTTTAATTTGGATAAGATGTCAGCTATGGTGTCCATGAATGAAACATAAATTACATATATGGTCTTTATTATGTTGAAGCCCATTCCCACTACATCTAGTTTGTAGAGTTTTTATCATAAAAGTATATGGAATTTTGCCAAATGCTGTGTGTGACTATTGTGGTGATCGTGTTTCTAAAGATTGTATGATTATGCAAGACTACAGAGAAACCTAGAAAATCTGGAAGAATAGAGTTGAAAAATTATATTATATTCCATAATATAATAAGGTACTATGAAACTACAGTAATTCACAGAATTGGATATTATAAGCATGAACACATAGGTATAGAATCTCCTATACCTATATCATCAATGATAAAACACAGGTAACAGTCATAAGCAAACAATATTTCTCAATTAATGGCACTGAAATTTGTTGAGGAAACTACTTCTCATTTAAACACACTTCTACTTTGTGCAAAAATAATTTTAAAATGATTATTGAATGGAAAGGGTGAAATAATAAAGCTTTTACTGTAATTGTTAATATATTTGTATTTGTATTAATTTTATTTTAATTAATTTTATTAATATTATTTGTATTCATTATTTGAAAGTTTCAAAAGGTGTTGTACTTGTAGATTCATGTTACATATTACCAATATTTGTTCCTCAAACCTAAAGGTTATTATGTACATAAATTCTGGAAAAAATCAAAATTTTTATTTCAATACTGTGTCTAGTCCATGCCTTCAAAGCATGGAAAAACATCAAGTGATGTTTGGAAACTTTTATAAGTCAATGTTAAACTCTCCTTTTCTGTCATTTATTATGTAATCTCTTTCTCATGATGTTTTATCACTGCTTCATTTGCTCACTTGGTAGAAAGTTTTATTTTTACATTGGAAAAACTCTTTCAGCTCACTATTTCTCTTTCCTTGTGTGATGTGCTCATTTATCCTTCCATTGAGTTTTGAATTGAGATCACTACACATTATATTTGTATATGCACTTTTTACCTATTTTTTATTTACCTTTGCTAAAGAAATATATATATATATATATATATATATATATATATATATATATATACCCACATATAGGATAGGATAGGATTCTTTTAATGATATTTCTTTCTTCTTTGTATCCTTTTAATATTTACAAACATATTTCTGAGGCACTCACAGATTATTGTGCTATTTAAACTTTTCTCCCACATGAGTAGCAATTAATCCATTTCAAATAGACACAAAGAAATGGAATAATGTGATTTTTGCAGAGAGCTCAGCATATTGCTCAAGGAGGCCTGTGAGGTTCATGGAGCCTTAGATGAGCACCATGTGGCCAGGGGGTGCTGAGAGTCATTGGGTTCTCACCAATCCATGGAGATCATGTGACAGCCCAGCTGGCACGTAACTTGGGGAAAATGAGGAACAAACCTCATATTTACTGTTTACCATCATCCTGACAGACATGATTGCTGAAGGCATTATGCTAAATCTTTAAAGTTATGGCATATTTTTTCACACCTGATTTCATGGGGTGAGTTTTATATATTGTATTTGAAGGAATGTTTACACAGCTGCTTTGTGAATTTTTTTGTTACTCGGATCCATACAAGGACAACTTTCTGATATGACAACTTCCCCTATGTTCATTCTTTACTAGCTTTAAATTTTTGGTTGTGCTATGTCTGCTAACAGAGCTAACAAACAAGTCAGCAGCCTTCTTCCCGGACCCCAACTAAAGGATACATGACAAGAATTAAGATGCAGATGGGGCCCTCCCCTCGTGGCGCAGTGGTTGAGCGCTGAGCTGCGAAGCTGCCCGCAGTTTCTGCAGTGCCGGTTTGATCCCCGGCCACAGGCGAGGGTCCCACATGGCGCGCAGACCTCTCCTGCCGCCCGCTGCTCCCCTCAGCAGTGTACTTCGTCAGTCTGCCTGTTCGGTTCCCCGCTCTGGCTCTGGTGAATTCTCTCACCCTCCGGCGCGTCTGACTGTACCCAGTGCTTGTATAAATAAATAAATAAATCTTAAAAAAAAAAAAAAAGATGCAGATGGACTGAAACTGAACAAACTCTCCAGGGAAAAATGATCTTTATAAAAGACTATTTTAGAAACTGCAGCTTCTGGATGAATCAGTAACTTCAAAAAAAAACAACCTTCATGTTTATGGAAGGATTAAAGCTAACAGCTGTCAGAATATGAAGCTTTATATAGGAAAAAAATTAACAATCTTTCCTGTTTTCCTCAATGCATAGAAGACATCACATAATTACACATAACATTCCCATCCAGATATGGAAATGTTTCCATTAAAATTATATAATAGCCTCTTTACAAGATACAACTTCGGGCAGCTAATCCAGAAGTATCTGAAGTTTGTTCCCAGCCATGAGTCCTCAGTTTACATTCTTTCATAAACTACTTAATTTTCCTTGTCTCAATTTATATAAACCAACAGTATTCCCAATATATTTTTATATTGTCTCCCAACCAAGAATAAACAGATGAACCTCAACAAAAGAGTCAGGCTTTTCTTCTTTGGAAAATTTTTCTTAGAGCTGCCTTCATGGCTTGATTTCTCAGGCTATAGATCATTGGGTTGAGTGTTGGGGGCACAACTGTGTACATAATAGTTAGCAAAATGTCCAGTGCACTTGGAGAGTCAGAAGGTGACCTAAGATACTCAAAGGAGCCTGTTGAAATGAATAAAATAACAACAGCAAGGTGGGGAAGGCAAGTGGAAAAGGCCTTAGCTCTTCCCTCAGCAGATGACATCCTCAGTACAGTAGAAAATATCTTTGTGTAGGACAGTCCAATAAAGATAATGCAAATAAATGCCATTAGAGATAAGAAGGCACTAATCCCAAGCTCATTGATATAGTCATTAGAACAAGAGAGTTTCAGGAGCTGGGGGATGTCACAGAAGTACTGGTGAACCTGGGAACCACAGAAGTGAATGGAGAAAGTGGCAGCTGTTTGCATGGCTCCAGAAATGACCCCACTGATCCAGATGCCTAAGACTCCATGGACACATTTGCTGACATCCATGATGATTTCGTAGTGCAGTGGAAAGCAGATGGCCACATAGCGATCATAAGACATCAATGTGAGCATGGATACCTCAGCAGAAGCACAGAGAGTGAAAGCAAAACACTGCACTATGCATTCCCCAAGGGAAATGTAGCCACTTTGCATGAAAGAATTGCAAATGAACCTTGGCACTGTCACAGAAATGTAGCACAGGTCCAGGAAGGAGAGATGTTTCAGGAAGAAATACATGGGTGACTGGAGACTACTGTCCCTGGAAGTTGCGGTGATAATGAGGATATTGCCAATTAAAGCCACCATGTATAAGACTAGGAACAAAGAAGCAAGAGTGACTTTCTGTTCAGGCTTGACAGAAAATCCCATCAGTAGAAACTCATTCAGTGTGAAATTAGCCATGGTCCTTCTTAATTTCCCAGTGATGATGGCTGCAAGACAAGAAGAGCCATTGAAACAAAATTTCTGTTACTTAACCTACTAACATACCTTAGATATGATCCATTTTGGCAAGAAGCCATTTTAAGAAATCATGACTTCATCACAAAGATGAAATAGTTCTATATACAATAATCAGTTTTAAAAATACTTCTACTTAGTTGTGGAAACATGGGTAAATAAGATTGTAAATTTATGCAGTGTCCATTTCAATCAAATTAATATACATAATAAAATTAATAAGAAATTAAAAATGTATTATTATGTGACTGGAGCTGTGGTATTTATAGATGTTTCTTAGCTAACAATTCTTTTCATGAATCATTCTACCTACTCATATGCCTCTCCATCTACAATGAATATACAATTATAATTTAATATTTTTATTTTATATATAAAGGAACAATTCTGCATTTTTGCTTGTATGTATTTTCCATTAAATGAAATTTTGAAACACAAAGTTAATACCAATGATGCAATAATTGTGATATGTAAATAACCATTATCATTAATACAAAAGATCATGAAGATTCATCTCAAAACTTAATTTCCCAAAGGAAATGGAAAAGAACAGAACCTTTTCCAGTGTATTTTTATGAGAAAATAACATAACCAATATACACATAAAAAAATTTATTCCAATTTTTTAAAGATTTATTTTTTATTTTATTTATACAAGAACAGGGGTATAGTCCAGATGCACGGGAGGGTGAGAGGATTCACCAGAGACAGAGTGGGAAACAGAACAGGCAGACTGACTGAAATACACTGCTGAGGGGAGCAGCGGGTGAGACAGGAGAGGTGTGCTCACCCTGTGGGTTGCTCCGAGGTGAGCAGGGATGGAACCGGCACTGCAGAGGCTGCGGACAGCTTCACAGTGCTGCGCTCAACCGCCTGCGCCACCAGAGAGGCCCTTACTCTAATTCTTTTTTTTTTTTTGATTTTTTATTTAAATATTTTATTTTATATAATTCTTACATCTTTTTTCATCTTTGCACAATGTATGCATTTTCATTTTGGTTATATTCCCCCATACAATTGCACCTCTCCCCTTATTTTGACTCTAGTCCCTCCTTTCCCTGCCGCTCCCTCCCCCCAACCCCCGTAGTGTGTCTCTGGTTTATAGTTGCTTGTTGATTTTGATTTTTACTTTGTATTGATAATTCTTAATTAAATGAAATGCTGAATAACTGTGAATTATATTTTTTGTAGCCAATGCATTAATTAAGATGGAAAACTCAAATACTCAGTACTACTAATTATGAAGAAAGACATCTAGTGGTACCAGATGTAACTATATCCTAAAATCATATACAGTGTTGTAAACCAATATTATGTCAATAAAATTCATAATATAAAAATATTGAAAATAATGCTATTTCATATAAAGAAAGAAAAATCTTAAAACATGAAAACAGTGTGCTCAAATTTGTGCATTCTCTGGAAAAGAGCAAATTATTTTACAAATACTTTGAAACAGTGTGTATGTTAAATCATATAACTATAGCTATATGACATTTTAAATAAGTCATGTAAATAATTAGTATTTACCACTGTTCATTTAAAATTAATGCTGCAGCAAAGAATATTAACAAAAACTAAAAATAATATGCTGCATAATTATTTTCAAAATTATCTGCATTAAGTATTTTTTAATCAATCTGATCACCATTTGGATAATTAAAAGTAAGATATATTATCTATACTTTATGTCCTGAAGATCTATAAATACACAGGAATGGAATGAGAGGAGAATAAAGAGTACAAGGAAATAAACTGGTAACAGCAGTAATATTTCTGAATGACGAGGAAAAGATAATATTTATTACTCTTTTATACATTTGTTGGCTTGATTCTTTATTTGAGACATAGGAAAGTGATCCTGTTTTTTTTTAGTTTTTTCAGTATAAAATCCATGGATGTTCCTATAATAATTTTCTTTAAGCTAAGGGTGATGGATGCTTCAGCATCTGTAGTGTACTATGTAATTTCATTGTGAAACTAAGTCTGTGATTGACTGAAAATACTTTGCACAGATGAGGGAGTCAACACCCATTCTACTATTTCATTCTTTTCAGTTTATTCTGTCAAAACATATAAAAGCCCATGTTCAGTGTATCACATGTGATACATTTAATGATATTTATCAGTTTTTTTCTTGTCCTTTTCTCTATATTTCTAAAATATTTGCCATTAACATGTCCATTCCAGAATTTTCCTGAATTCTTTCTACCACAGACTTTTCCCAAAAATTCAAACAAATGAGAAGGCTGAATGACTGGTTATGATAATAAGCATATCTCATTTTTTTTAGATCTTTATCTTGGCTTCTTTTTGTTCCTTACTTTGTGAAGATGGAATATGTTGTTGTTTTGGTCTCATTATAATATTTCATCCATTCTTAACCATTTTTTTGCCATCTTTGAATAATATACCAGTGATCTCTGATGTGTAAAGCCCCTCAAGCTCAGTCACTATTATAAAATCAATGAGTAATACACAAGGAGTATCAGAGTGTTATCCCATCACACACTCACATTGAATTACTTCTGACTGTGATGGTTATATAAAGAAAGGCATTGCTACACACCACAAAAAGTATCCTCAATGGAAGCTTTCAATGTTCTCTCCAAGATTTCTAACTTCTATTTAAATAAACAGAGCTTATACAAAGTATTAAATATTTTACAAATTAAATAGCAGTGGCTGCAGTTGCCTACTCAAAAGCAGTAACTTACAGACTTTTCACTATCCTTTGCAACCCATATTTTTAGAACTAAAGAACACTCACCAAATCATATTCGAGAACCTCTTCCCCCAATGGAAAGAGAAGCTGGCACTGAGAGCAGTTTACACTTAGCTCAAAGTCCTCACCTCTGAATTCATTAACATTCAGAAAAATCTGAACTAGGAAGAAAAAATTAAGTCCATTTCAACCCTTCTTTAGCCACTGGAGGTTAGACTATGCAATCTCTTTGGCACAAGCAGTGTATCTTGTTGCTGTGGGTATTTGGTGTTCTCAGTAAATACCCTGGGACCAAAACTCGCAATTACAATTTTTTTGTTAAGTCAGTTTAATGATTATACCCAGATACTTACAATTTCAACTTACTACAAAAATGTATTCAAAGTGAATTAAAAACTTGAAGGTTAGAACTGAATCCTTAAATATGGGGGGAAATCATAGACCATAAACTCACAAATATGTACCTTAGTGATAACTTTAAACCACAAAATACATGAAGAAAACAAAGACAATAAGTTTATTGAAATCAGCCTTAGAGATGACTCTGGGGATTGGACTCCAACATCAAGGGAAGCAAAATCAAAAATAAATAAATGGAACTACATCAAACTAAAGAGCAGCTTCAGAGTGAAAGAAACCATCATTAAAAGAATCAGTCAACTTGTGCAAAGATGAAAAATGATGTAAGAATTATATAAAATAAAATATTAAAAAAAATAAATGGCAAGCACATAGAAATAGGCTGTAATTCATGACCAAAAAAAAAAAAAAAAGAATCAGTCAACTTGAATGGGAGAGGATATTTGCAAACTGTATATCAGATAAGGGATTAATATCCAAGAAAACAAACAACTCAATATTTTAAAAAAAGCAATCCTATTAAAAATAGCCAGAGCATGCAGTCCTCTCCTGCCGCCACTGCTCCCCTCAGCAGTGTATTTCATTAGTCTGCTTGTTCTGTTTCCTGTTCTGTTTCCTGCTCTGGCTCTGGTGAATTCTCTCACCCTCCCATTCTTCTGACTGTACCCAGTGCTTGTATAAATAAATAAATTAATTAAAAAAATAGCCAGAGGCTCCACATAGGTTCTTCTCCACAGAATACATAGCCAACAGCCTCTGAAAACATGTTGAACACTCTCATTGTAGGGAATGCACCTCACAACCACAATGACATCTCATCTCACATCTGTGAGAATATTTGTTATCCAGAAAACAAGAAACAAGAGGTGCTAGAGAAGAGGCAGAGAAAAGGAAGTCCTCATACACTGGTAGATTGATGCAACTGGTAGATTGACTTTCATTCCAAGAATATGAAACCACTGATAAAAAAAGATATTTGTACCTCTATGTTCTGTGGAGCACAATTTACAACTAGTTTTTTAATTTGTTTCTTATATCAGAAGAATTTTATCTTTATTAATTTGTGGACAATATTTTTTTCAATATTTTCTATGACCCTGCCTTCAAAGAATGGAAAAATACACCAGGTAGGTACTTTGGAAATTTTAATATGTCAGTGTTAGACCTTCCTCTTCTATCATTTATGACTTAATCTTCCATTGTGTTTTACCTACTGTTTTCCATCATCCATAAAGAAATGATCTGTGAAGAAACTGTCAACTGCTATAGATTTATGGAAATTTCCTTTTTTCATGTCTGGTTTGTAGAGGGAGATTTTAATCCTCTGTGTTTGCAGGAGTAATGTCTATAAATTATATGTGTGAATATTCCTATTACTCAGATAGCACATATTTATAAAAACATTTCCACATGTGCACATTCCCTATACAAATTTCTCTGTTTAGCTTCAAATACTTGGTTGACTCTGTTATGTTTGCTTAACCAAAAGCTAACAATTAAATTGTCCAAATTAAAGGGCACAAGTCCAGTGTTAAGATGCAGCTAACCAGTTATGAAGAAATTGTCAAGAAAAATGTTCTGTGAAAAAGCATTTAGAAATGCTATTTCTGGAATAATTAGTGAATTCAAAGAGTGACAGACTTCAAAAGCTAATATCAGATCTAAACTCACCACTTCCCTGAAGATAAAGATCCAAGGGGTATAAATGAACAACCATCTGTGTTTCCCTTAATGCAAAGAGGAAACATACAGGCATCAGAAGAGACACCTACATGTATGTGTGACATGTGTCCCTTGCAAAAGATATGAAATTCTTGTTGAGCTCAAAGTTCAGGCAGCTTTTCCAGAACTATCTGGA